TTTCCTAAAATGAGTAGAAATAGTAAGTTTATAACTATCCCCTACACTTGTGTGATTAATAATTCACTTAAAAAGTGCATGAAACAAAATATTTGAAATATGGCAAACATTATGTATGCAAATAATAATAATTTTAATAGTTAAGATCATGAGTCAATTGAAGCTGGACCACCATGGAAAACCTGGAAGTACTGGGCGGCCGTTTCGTCCTATCATGTGACTCTTCAGCAGTGCTCATCCATGATCTCGCCTCGCGAGATTTGAACCCGGGGCCTATTGGTCTTGTGGGTGATCGCTTAACCTCTAGACCACTGAGCCGGTATCCAACGGTGTTAATGTCTAACTTCAACTAATAACCTACAACTTCAGTTCTTTTTAAGTCAAAAGATAATATTTGCTTAGACTATTCATGAATAAATTTTGTATGCTAATACCATTCAAAACAATATTATGTTAATAAATTATCAATCTGTATAGATTGATTAAATTATGCATGTTATACCATCCAACCATATTATCATGCATACCGAGAAAATCAAATAACATGATTCGAATGAAAGGAAGATGAAATTCAATACTGAAGGAACTAATATTTTACAAAGAGATGTATCAACAATATGTACAAAGATATATAACTTATGTAATTCATAGTTATTCAACTACAGTAACAGTATATTATGACCATTATGGTCATTACCCAATGACCAATTAATATAAATATTTGTCTTACTAGAGGTCACTCTGTAAACCTAGTATCTCAGTAGTTATCTGAATAAAAAATGCCCATTATAAACATACTTTACATGTTACTTAAGATGAAATACAGTGATGCATTAAGTAACTGAAATTAAATATATGTTTCACAAGTTGATGTAACTTGTAGCCTTGTGTTCTATCAATATATACCGTAATGGTATTGCCAATTAGAGAACAGAGAATTATCCACCGGACCAATCACGCATAAATCCGTACGAAAAGTCTAGATTCCTTATCGGTCCTTCTTCCTGAGTAGCCCTGCCTGTTGAGTCCAGAACAATAATCTCAGCCTCCGCGATATGAATCATGTATTTCAAACATACTAGGTTTATATACAAACCAAACAGACCACATCACACCATAAAACAGAAAATAATATTTGTACGAGATCTAGCTAAAAATGGCTGTGAATGTGCGAGACTGTAATTAATAAACTGAGCATAACTTAAGAACGGTAAATTGTATAATAATAGTCTATATATCAAAATAAAGCTTATAATAAGAGGAATATGAATATAAATAGGTTAGTTACACAATAAAAATATATGTATATTAGTAGCCCATAAATAGATCCCAACAGTTACCATTCAATATTCGCGTCGGGATATATGAACTTATGTTCATTTTTATCTGTTTTATTTATTTTTAACCATTTTTGGGGATCGAATCTCGCGGAGGGATCGTGGATGCGCACTGCCGAGGAGTCCCATACTAGAACGAAACAACCGTCCAGTGCTTCCAGGTTTTCCATGGTGGTCTAACTTTAATTAACTCATGATTTCAACTATTTATATTTTAGAAGTGTTTTATAAGATAGAAAATGATTATTGTAAGTAATCTAATAATCTAATTGGAATATTACCAAGACACATAACATGATTAGTTACAACAGACTAATGAGAGGTTGATTTTCCACTTCATCATTTGATGAAAAACAGAAGAATTAATTATTTTTAAATCTTGAAAATAAAAGTACATTTAATTTCACTAGGTATTGTTTGACTTGTATATTCCCATTAAGGTTTAAGACTGCAATTGATCAGTTTGTTTTTGACATATGTGCATACTGTGCGTATGCCTCGATATTGCCTTAAATCACAAGCTTTTTGTAAGCAATGATGGATAGTGGCTAGCAGTGGACTTCATGACCACAATGGGAAGATACAAGCCAAGCAATAGTAAGTGAATTTAAATTCACTCCATTGCACAAGCAAGTGGCTATCAGGACTCAGTAACTGAGTGGATAACGCGATGGCGTTTGAAGCGAATGGTACCGGGTTCGAGTCCCAGAGTGAACATCAACTCTGAGATGCAAGTACATCTAGCTGACGAGTCCCAGATAGGACGAAACTCGCGTCTTGTATTCCACTACTAGCGACTATCCATTATTGCTTACAAAAAAAGTATATTAGATTAAACGGTAAGATGAATTTGTTCATTTAAAGTTCAAATGTCATTTTATTTTTAGACCATCTCTATTTCCTCATTATTCTATCGAAATTGATAAAAGGGACTAATTATTTTAAAGATAAAAAGAATTTCGTTATGAAAACTAAACACTAACAGATATACAGATATAAAGATAAAGTATCAGTTTCCCACGGATTCTACAAAATATAAATCACAGATATCTTTAGTAATATCATGGATGGAAATCGATAATTATTGATAGTTTTGCTATAGAAATTTATTCAACGAAGCGGTAAATAAAATTGACATTGGCGACACCATATGAATTAGTTGATGTCTATACTTTGGTGAGATATGACATGATTACAGTGAAATTTAAACATCATAATTCCATTTCTCTATAATACTTCATCCGAAATATATATATATACACATATTTGATCGGTAAAAAATCATCATTACGAAACGTCTTTCATCTGTATTGCTAACATCTTTATGAATAAAATGGCCATTAAACAGTTGTTTTGTCTAAATAATCCTTTTTCAAGATTTAAACAAACAACTAAACACACATCTAGAAACCAAGTATGGAGAAGACATTCTTTAATGTTTCAAAAATTAACACTAAGTAGTTCTAACATCTTATTTTGTAAACTAATCCAAGCTTCTTGATAATAATGTAAATAATAAAAATTTCAGTTATCAGCTTAGGCGCTAACATAGATCAGTCTTAAATCAACATTTCGCTTTGACATTAGTTCAAAACGATCAAAAGATTCATACACTTTATTTACATCTTTATCAAATAAAATTATATCATCTGCGTATTTGAAATCAGTAAGTAAATCACCTGATATAGGTTCAATCCTTAAGAAGTTGAACAACGAAAACCTTATCTTTACAAGAATATCTATGTTGAAGTTAATTATCAATGGGAGGAAACGGACAACCTTGATGAACACTATTATTACTTTATTCAATATTATATTTTTGGTACAATATAGAATTCTCAACATAAAGTATTTCTTATTTCTTGATCAATCCTGACAATAAACACTGAGTGATCATTAGTTACATGTTATCATTTCAGAAATTGACATTTGAATAATATTCATTGTTTTCAATCCATATTACCAGCAATCACGATGTCACCGATTTAACATTTTTGTAACTTGTACAGTGAAAGGTCACTAACGTTTCATAGACGTGCAATTAATTGGCATAATAATTTATTAAAACAAACATAGGAAACATGTAACTTGTTGAAATATCTAGATGGTAAAGATAAGCAGCTCAGATATTCAAGCAGGCCGTCAGTTATGTAACAGTTCATCACAAAAACTGTAACTCAACATCATCTATTTCTAAACAATTGTTTATCATTCATTTGTCTCAATTATGTAAATAAGAGTTATTTACTATAAAATATGTTCAATTTATGAGTTGACAAGGATAGTTTTAATACATATTTTTTCCGTTTGTTTATATTTATGAATTAGGCACAAAATTTAAAATTATTCGAAATTATATCTGAACCAACGTAATTAATCATGGACTTTTGTGTCATTAAGATAATAAGAAGTGGTAACATTTATTGATTCATTTACAATCTGTTCTAAGTTATACATTTATAGTAAATACTAAATGTAATGATACTTTAAAATGATTTTAATGGAGTTTTGTTCTCTGAGCTAGATGATTTGGTCGTGGAGCTTTCATCATACTTCTGAACGATATCATCAGCACAAACTTCAGGTAGAAAGCTCCACAAACAAACTATCCAGCTCAGTGAACAAAATTCCATCAAAATCATCTACCTATGCTATAAATGTTTACTTTAAAGTGAATAAAACAGTATAATAGAATAAATTAATTAATCAATGTTTATAGATATTTCAACAAATAAATAAAAATTAGATCTTCTGACATTTCGTAACTCAATGTAAGCTACTTCTTCAGAGAATAAATGACCAAATTAAACATTCATCCTTTATATAAAGGTGTTTTATTTTCTGAATTGATCGGTTTAGTCATGAAGCTTTTATTCAAAGTGTATATTAATATTATTATTTAAAAAGACAAAACAAAAGCATTTCACTGCCAAATTATCTTGGCCAATAAACACAACATTCTAAGAATTCCTCATATTTAGCTACATATATTTCTTTATAATTTTATATATTTATTATATTTTATTGTATTTGATGATAAATAGAACTATTTTAACCTTAAATCAAAATAATCCATCATAGAAAAATAGTAATATCCATCTTTGTTTATAAAGCATGTGACTTCAGGTAATATCAAGGCAATCCGCACAGAATGCACATATGCTAATAAAAAACTGATCAATTGTAGTCTTAAATAACAGTGGGAAGATACAAATAAAACAAGACGAAGTGAATGTAAACTTCACCACATTGCAAAAGCATATGGCTATCAACACTCAATAGCTAAGTGAATAACGTGATGGCGTTTGAAGCGAACCGTACTGGGTTCGAGTCCCAGAGTAAACATCAATTCGGAGATGCAGATACATTCAGTTGACGAGTCTTAAATAAGACAAAACACGCATCCTAGATTTCACTATTAGCTATTATCCATCTTTGTTTATCATACATGTGACTTAAAGCAATATCAAGGCAATTCACACAACATGCATATATACCAACAAAAGACTAATTGCAATGAGAAGATACAAGTAAACAATAATAAATGAGTAATAAATTAATGTTCATTTATTTTTTATTTACTATTTTGAATTATAACATTAAATATCAAATAATCATTAAATGAATAATAATAAATTTATATTGAAATTCAATTTAACTTACTCTCATTTGATTCATTGAATACAATAATTATTTCCATAGAAATGATAATAAATATACAAAAATAAATTAAATATTGATTAGGATACATTATTTTACCGCTTCAATTAAATTTTGTTTAAATTATTATAATAATCATAGAAAATAATTTTATATTCAATGTACAATATTTTTTTTCAAATTTCAATCCTTACAACTTTGTATTGTTTTGTTTATTAAATGGAAAGCCAAAAATGTATAGAATCTTTTTTTTATTTGTTTGAATTGAATAGAATGATATTTGTTTTAATATAGAATTAAATGAATAAATAATACATTGAATAGAATTAATTGAATATTGAATAATATCTATGATAGATATTACATAATTAAAGTTTTGTATATATATATACATTAAGGGATTCACTTTTAGACTGAATTGGAATATAAAGAGAAAAGAAGAAAAGAAAAGAAAAAAACAGAGAAAATATTGTTTTATTTTAATTTAAGAATAACTTTTAATACTGGTTAGTTTGATGATCATCATTATTGTTACTTCTATTTAAATTATAAAAATGAAATCGTTTTAACCAATCAAAATAATTTAAAGTTTTTTTTGTTTTTGTTGTTGTTGTTATTGTTGATGTATTGAGATAGAAACAAGTTTTTCTTCACCTTTAAGTTATTTGATCAAAATTAACTGTAGAATAATAAAATTTATGTAAAAAAATAATGAAATATCTAAACAAAACGTACTTAAACTTCATTATGAATAGATTTGTGATTGTATGTATGAATTCTTGTAATCCGATAATAGTATGAATACTATTACGAACTGTAATTGCAAATACGCCTGTTACCCCTCTTCGAGGAGCATAGGCCACCCATTAACACTATCCATTCCTGTTTCCCTTCAAGATTTTAAGTTAGCGTTTATCTTATGATGCAGTTTGAGGATTCCCGTAATGTATTTCTTATCCAACTTCAATGTTTTTTTCTTAATTTCCTCTTCAGATAGAACATGATTTGCCCTCTCCCATAGTAGACTGTTGCTGATGGTAATCGACCAACGGATATTGAATATCTTGCGTAAACAACTGTTTATAAACACTTAGACCATTTGATGATGGTTGTAGTAGTTCTCCATGGTTCAGCTTTGTGCAGTTGTACTGTCTTGACGTTCGTATTGAAAATTCTGACTTCGATATTGGTTGACAGTTGTTTAGAGTTCCATATGTTCTTCAATTGTAGGAATGTGGCCCTTGCTTTGTTAATCCTCGCCTTTACGTTCGCATCCGATTAAGAATTGTATAAGAAATTATCTTCCATTTTGGCGAATTTTTTTTCTCTGAGCTGAATCATTTAATTATCGGAGCATTCGTTGTTTTTCTAAACAATATTAGAACAAAATTTTACCTGAATTTTGTTCTGATGATTGTGTTCAAAAAAGAACAGTCAATGTTCTATAATCAAGTTATTCAGCTCAAAGAACGAAATTCCAACAAAATCATCTATCTGATAATCTATCATATATATAAAATCGAACAAATAACCAGCATGTTTTGTCTCTGTTTATCAGTGCAACCTAGGGCACGTGTTTCTTGGTGTTTGAGACTAGTCAAATAAAGTTAATATTCACACTCGAATGCAAGTCTTGTTTAGAATGAAACACGTTTCGTCGTTTTTACTCCCAGATAAAATCAAAACTTATAAAATTCTCTATAAACAAGTATGTTTAAACCAAGACAGTTCCCTCAAGATACATAAATCTTAATAGATACTGAATAAAATTTATTCTTAATTATCAAAATAGAAGTCTTTGTGAATATTCAATGAATAAATTATGGCAATGAAAATGATGTGAAACATTATCAACCGGAAATAAACATCTATTTTTTTATCTGTTGGGAATATATGCTTGATTATGTTTTTGCAAGTAAAATTCGATTCTCTTAACTCATTTCCAAATATTTGAACCTTATGAGGAAAGTATATTAAACATATACACTTTCGCATTATGCATCCTTGAAAAAAATAAATCAATTTTCGATCACTGAACTGCAAGTCTAAAACATACATCATATATTTCAGTTTGAGCAGATACATCATTTTACACAAAGACGTTGACAATCAAAGTCAAACAAACATTTTAACTTGACAAATCAGTTTTTTTAAAAACGAGAAACTAAGTCGTTCTATTAGCATTAAAACTAAGTAGTTTTGGAGGTAATCTCTATATTGCGTTAACTAATGGTCCTAGGTTAAACTTTTGGTAAAACTGTGGGTATGCAACTAGTTGAACAGCACTCTATGATTTTAAAATTGTCCTTTATATGAAATCTATCTTAGATAAATGCAAGTAATAATTTAAACTTATTCCCACAAAACGCTTTTAACTAAATTTTTAATTTACAAACAACACTTTTTAGTCTAAATGACAAGCTTAACACGAAATTTGATTTGCCTTCAAAAAAGGTATAATACAGTTTGAGAGTACTTCGAAACTTTATTTTCTGTTGACGACCGAATTTCATCAATCCATGTATAGTCGTTCTACATTACCATACATATGTAAGTAAAAATTTATTATAAAGTATCTTTAACGATGACTATCTGACAAAAACATTATATTACCACTATAAATTGGTGTCGAAATAAATGATTAGATGGACTTTATATTGTGATTTTTAATAAATCATGAGACATCAGTAAGACCAATCTCATTTTTACGATATCATCAGCAACAACCTGCTGTAGGAGAGAACAAACCAGCTTTCATCTGAAGAGGAAATTAGGAAAAGACTTTGGAAGTAGATTGGACAGACATTGAGGAAACCATCAAACTACATCACATGACAAGCGCTAACTTGGAATCCTGAAAGGGAACGAAAAAGAGAAAGGCCAAAGAACACAATGCATCGAGAACTGGAAGCAGACATGAAAAGGATGAATAGGAACTAGAAACAACTGGGAAGGATTATTTAGGACAGAGTTCGATGAATGCTGGTGGACGGCCTATACTTCTCGAAGAGAGGTGACAGGCGTAAGTAAGCATTTTTGCAATGACAACATCCTAATAGAAACTGACATAATTTCAAGAATTATCCAAACTATTAACTCTCTTCACAATGTCAGATTCAGAACCGAAGGAGGTTAATTTATAAAAATCCGTCTTAAACAGCTAAAATCAAACAACAAGAAGAGGTGAACTATAATTTTGCATAAGTTGGTACTCTTCAACAAGATAAACCCTCAACCATATGTAAAAGAATGCTTGTCGAATGATTCGAGTTTCTATCACCTGATATTATTTAAAGTTACCATCAAGTTATTATAGCACCTGCTATGGAATTTAAATATTTATTTGAATATTAACCAGTGTTATACTTGTTCAAATCTAAATGATGATCGAATTCAATTGACCAGCATTATACAGTATAGCAGCACATGTACATTTGAGTTTGCTCACATTTAATTTGGCTAAGTTCTTTTGTTAACTTATTTAACGGATAGAGTTATCCATACAATAACAAATTATCTTATACCACTGTACCTTTATTATTATTGCACTTGTATGAATATGTATGCTTGAGCATTGCTAACATGAAAAAAGTTGAGATTATAACCCATATTATGTACATGAAAATAGTTTCAACAACAACAACAAAACAAACCCAGTAATTCTAATGATTCGAGTAGAATAAGGATGGAAAAACAAGAAAAGATTATTTCATACGTTATTTTGATTAATTTTACAGAATAGAAAATAATGACGATTTGATACGTACATGTATATAATAAATAATATGACTTATCAGATAGAAAAGAATACAGTCAATAAATATGTACTTCATTTACTTGGAGTTAATAAAGTAGCATTGAATTTATTCTATGATTAAAAATAACACTGATCAACAATCATCAATTCAAATACTGATTGATTCCTAAATAGAAATTAATATCAGGTATATCCACTCCTTTAGTATTAATCGAATTCTATCGATGTGAATAGCTCGACGGTAGCATTACCGATAATGAAGTTGGTTAATACGAATTCAAATTCATCAGAGAATATCAGTTTTGTAAAGATTACATGTACACCTTATTGACAAGTACTGTAATAACATGAAACTTGGGTTGAATAAGGTTTTTCTTTCGATTAACTCATATCTGATATGATGGAAAGAAAAGTCACTTTTCGATTGATTTACTCATTATAAGTTTTGTTCAAGATTACTTCTGTTTTGATTCAGTGTAATGATTACCCAATGTAGTGTTTGTTTTCTTTTCTCGTATGATATTTTATTCCGTATAATATGCGATGTTGTTGTATTCCATTGACATGAACTATGCTCAGTATGTGATTTGTTATACTTACTTACTTACGCCTGTTACTCCCAAAGGAGCAAAGGCCGCTGACCAGCATTCTCCAACCCACTCTGTCCTGGGCCTTCTTTTCTAGTTCCATCCAATTCTTGTTCATTTTTCTCATGTCTATCTCCATTTCTCGGCGTAATGTGTTCTTTGGTCTTCCTCTTTTCCTTTGACCTTCAGGATTCCATGTGAGGGCTTGTCTTGTGACGCAGTTGGGTGCTTTCCTCAATGTGTGTCCTATCCACTTCCAGCGCTTCTTCCTGATTTCTTCCTCCACTGGGATCTGGTTTGTTCTCTCCCACAGTACGTTGTTGCTAATAGTGTCCGGCCAATGGATCTGAAGTATTTTGCGTAGACAATTGTTGATAAACACTTGTATTTTCTGGATGATGGCTTTTGTAGTTCTCCAGGTTTCTGCCCCATACAGTAGAACTGTCTTGACATTTGTATTGAAAATCCTGACCTTGGTGTTGGTTGACAGTTGCTTTGAGTTCCAGATGTTCCTCAGTTGTAAATATGCTGCTCTTGCTTTGCCGATCCGCGCCCTCACATCTGCATCAGATCCACCCTGTTCATCAATGATGCTGCCCAAATACGTAAAGGTTTTTACATCTTCCAAATCTTCTCCGTCAATTGTGATTGGATTGGTGCGTTCTGTGTTGTATCGGAGAATCCTGCTTTTCCCTT